ACCCCCTACTCTCACCAACACCGAGTGCCACCGGGCAATGGGAAAGTTGGACCTAAGGTTTGGGGGGAGCGGGAGGCTGCGGAGGAGCTGCCGGGGACTGCGCTCCGGGGAGGCAGCTGCCTGTCCCTGACGGGAACGGTGCCACCGGTGTTCCCGGCCCTGCCTTTCTTCTCGGTTTGTTTTTCCCTTCATCTTTCCCCCCTGTATCCCATCTGCTCTCGCTCCAGCTCTCTTGCCTCCAGCCGTGTTTGCTGGGGGACCAGAGATGCCCACATCCTGCTGCTGGCAGCAGATGCTCTATAGTCCCCTACGGATATAGGTCCTGATGCTGGCCAGACCCCTGCTCCCCACCCGACCCTCTCTCCTCCCTAACTGACCCTTTCTGCAGCAAGTCCTGGGGAAGCCCTGGCACAGCCCAAGGACACAGCTCTGGCATGAGCCCCTCCGGACCTGCCAGGTCCATACCTGCCCCCAACACCCGGCAGGATGGGCGGTTTCCAGCTTGGGGTAGCCCAGCACGGCCACGGCAGGGCTGGGTGATCGGGGTGCCAGGGGCAGGACAGCCAGAGGCATCTCAGGCATCCTTGGCTGGAGGGACCACAACCCGCTGTGGTCCTCACCCACCGGGTCTGGGGTGTCTGAGGCTGTAGAAAGCTGTCAGAGATGTCTCCATCACCCGAGACAGGCACAGAGACCACCCCTGCCTCTGCTCAACACCGAGCATCTCCGTGGATCTCACTTCGTCTTGTTTTCCATAACACCCCCCCCCCCGCATCCCCAGCCATCGGTCAGGTCCTCTGCCTCAGTTTCCCCATGGCACGGCTTGTCGCCGGGTGTGTTTAAGGAGCAAGGCGGTGGGATGTGGTCTGGATAACCTGAGACACACAGACACATCGACTATTGTTTCCTGCTCCATTTTAACTTTTTTTGGCTGGTTTGCCTCCTCTTGCACAAAGGTGTGCTCAAGAGATCTCTCTGAAACCTCTTCCATCTTAAAACCCGCTAATTATGAAAATGAGCTGTTGCGGGTTTTCTCCAGCCCTTCTGCTCTCCCGGAGTGGGTTATCCCCGGCGGTGAATCTCCTTTGGGTGCTGCTCTGCTTTCGGTGGTTTCATGACTTGCCCAGTTTGCTGTGGTGGGAGCAGGTGAGCTGGAGGACGCTCTGGTCTTTGCTTTCACGGATCAGCGCTGCTTATGTCAAGCCAGCTGGCTTTTATCTGGAGCAGAGGAACACATGAGCCCCTAATACCCACGCCGCCTCCTCCTCCCATCACAGCTGGGTCCCTTCAGCCTCCCCCAAAGGAAAGCTTTGCATCTTCATTGCAGCCCGAATACCCTCAGCTTATTAAAACACAAGGGATGAGGGACAAAAACCACTCGTCGCGGGTAAACGGCGATGGGTCGGTGCGTGTTTGGCCATCACTTGAGCGTGCAGGTTTGTGTGCCGGTGGGGCAGCAGCTATCCCCTAAGAACCATGGTCTGTGCTGGGGGGACACACCAACCTGTGTCCCCTTCTCTGTTGGGCTGTCCAGGGTGGAGTTTATCTGCTCCCCATCCCTCGGTGGTGGCAGTTCAATGTCAGCCTTGTCCATGGAAAGTGTCTCTTTCCTCCCGGCATCTCGCCCGGCAGAGCAGCGGTGACGAGCAGGAGGTGATAACCGAGCGATGAAGAGCAGCTGTGGGTCCCCACGTCTGCTCGGCAGGCGGGTGTCAAAACAAGCATCGCTCGCGAGGGGTTTGTGTGGGCAAACATCTCGTCGGCGCCTGCTGTCCCCCAGCGCCAGCCGCCGGCTTCGTGGGCTGATGGGTTTTCTCCCTGGCAATGGGAAGGGAAGATGGGAGGGGGGAGATTTCGGCAGTGGGGGATACAGCTGAGTCCGATGGGTCCCTTGGGGTAGAAGAGGCGTTTTGGGGTGCCCAAGCATGGGGTGGAGGGGCACCGTGGCCGTGTCTCACCCCCCTTCCCTCCGCAGCCACCGCCGCTCACTTCAGCTTCTGCCGCAGCCTCCTGGAGCACACGGTGTCGGCCGAGAACCTCAGCTACCGCCTGCAGAGGAACCCCGGCAGCAGCCTCACCTGGCACGACGGCCGGAGCCAGCGGACCGACGGTGGCCGGACGGTCAAGCTCCTGCGGCAGCCTGGCACCGAGGGCTCGCAGGTACCCGCCGGGCTCCTCCGCACCCCCCGACCCCTGTCCCGGGGCCGCCCAGGGGAACGCAGCTCCTCCTGTGTGTCCCCCTCCATCCCATCGATTCCCTCCAGGAGCATCTCTCCTTTCTCTGCAGGATCAGGTCCCATTTTGCTGAAAGCCCTCGTGATTATTTGGTATTTAATTATAGTAATGGATATAAATGTGATAATTTAATTATTATCAGCTGTGCTGGGGTGAGTTCTGTGCATCACCACCTCTCCACACCTGGAGCTGGGACTTAATACAATTTTGCAGTAAATGTGCCAGGACCAAATTCCTTGTAATTCCTTAAAATCCCTGAGTGCTTGAGTATGTCTCTTAGCCAGGTCTGAGCCAACTGACCTCCTAAAATTCTGAACTTTATTGCATTAACGAGGCTGTGAGCTGAAGGTTTCCAGCCATTTGCCTGTTGCCCCACCTCTGCACAGCCGTGGGAAGGAGCGCCTTCCCACTGAGCGGCTCTTGGTGCTTCCTAACCCCATCGTACCGCCCTGGGAGGGGTGGTCGGAGGCAGCACATCCCATCGGTGACCAGTGGAAAGAAAACAGGGAAAACTGAACTCCTCCAACATGGAGATATTTTTGCATCTTGAGAGCCTGGCTGGTTGGGTGTCGGAGGGGAGCAAGGTCGCCGCAGGGATGGGTCCAGTCCCACCATCACGCTGTGATGCTCATGGGAACGGCAGCCCCCCAGGTCCCCCTGTCCTGGCAGTGCTGTGCCTCTCATTCCCGTCACCTCTCCCGGCACACGGGTGGCCCCTTCCCTCTCTCACCTCTGGGAAAAGCATGGGGACATGGGGACAGCACTGCCTGCACAGAGCTGCCTGCTCGGGGACACGCCAGC